ATATATATATATATATATATATTACCGAAGTTACGTGTGTAGATGTTTGTGACAAGTGAGGAATGAGACGGTGTGTGCGGTTATTGTGGCGCCCGGAGAGGCGGCTACCGCGACGTTTCCGCGACGTGCCGGATGAATTCACCGACATCCGTTCCTCCGACTGCCGGCCGCTGGTCTTCACTCCCAAGCGGCCGGCACCGCTGCGTGACGTCGCCCTCTCTGATATAGTCATTGACGAGACGGCGATGCAAACCGCCTCGCTGAGAGAACTTTCACAGCAGCCGGTAGCGAAACTCGACGCAGAGCGGATGGGCCTTCCTCCACACCTCGTGAACTACCTGCAGCGCCGCTTCACGCAGGACAACGCATCGGGTGGTGGCTTTCAAGGTCTGACGATGATACAGGCACGCGCGCTTCAGCACTTCTACGCCCGACAGGACGTGGCTCTCTGCGCCCCAACAGGGACTGGCAAGACTTTCGCGTTGTGCTTGGCCCTCGTTGCGCGGCTGATGCGAGACGGGCCGATGAAACTCTTTTCGGTTGTCTTCCTCGCGCAGAATGACCACCTTTGCCGGCAGATCGCGCGCTGGATGGAAGAGATGTGGTGGTACGAGTCAGATGATCGTCTGGTGTTCGCCGCAACAAGTGACATTCCCCCGAATGTTGTGTACCGCCGCCTCACACGCGAACTCGTCCGCGACGCCTCCGGCAATGTTATTGGAACAGTGGACAAGCGACCTTATGTCTGTGTCGCCACACCGGAGGTTTTTTGGACTTTTTTCCAGCGCCGAAAAGATGTGATCCTCCAGCGTGAGGCGGCGAAGGGACGCAGGAAACACTCCTTCGCACTCACGCCTGTGCTCCCGGGCATCGACCTCGTCGTTGTGGACGAGGTGGACGACGTGCTGCCGTCGACACGCCCCGAGGCACCTGGTAATTTGCTAATGAAGGAGCTTTATCGCTTCGTCAAGTACCAAGCACCGGTCCAGCTCGTCTTCACGAGTGCGACGCTCGCAGGTTCGACGGTTAACCACGTGCGACGGTTCTTGAAGAAGAGTGTTCTTGAGTCCAAGACGTCCCGTATCTTTGAGAGTGAGGTGGAAAGCCTCATGCACAACGCGAAGACAACGGGAAATCTCTCGCGTGTAAGCGTCCCCGAGAGCATTCAGCACCTCTTCTACACTGCTGACACCCTCGAGGAACAGCAAGAGTGCTTGACAGCTGCCATGAGGGCCACAAAGAGCATGCCAACCTGTGACGATGACAGCAGCAATAGTGGTGCTGGTGTTCGGGTGCTGGTGATTCTGCCAGATTCGGCTAACACAGAGCTCTTTGTGAAGCGGGTTTTGACCCCCAGTCAGGTGGATGATCAATTCACGGTTGAAATGACAGACAAAACGCGTCACTCTTGTAGTGGACGCGAAGGAAAGGGACATAGGAAGCACTTGGACCCGTCAGAGTTAGACACTACATGCCCTTCTGCGTCGTCATCCATTCGACGATTTATTCTGTGTAGTTCGTCTTCTGTTCGTGGCCTGGATATTGTCAACCTCTCACATGTGGTGATTCTTTCCACACCGGGATCGGCGTTGGAGTATGCGCATTGGTGCGGGCGTGTGGGCCGTTTTGGAGGCTGTGGCGTTGCAGTTGTTATCATGAGTCGCTCCGCCGTGCGGAGTATGAGCGGGTTTTGCGACGCGCTGAGCATACCGTTCACGGTGCAGCGGCGGTACAAGAAGATCGACGTGGACGCGGAACGGCGTACGCTCGGCCTCTAGCCGCTCTGCATGAATCTTTTTTGGTGTGGCGCAGTGTTTGTGCGGTGGGCGGTCTGGTGCTGCTGCTTCTTTTTCTCTCTCTATACATATAATCATAGTACCGTACACATGTCTACTGTTTCTCTCTCCTTCTCTCGATATGCGTGACTTGTTTGCCGATTAGGATCACGTTTTTTTTTTCCTTTTTTCTTTTTTTTTTCTCTTTTTTGTACAGTTGTTTTTTTCCCCCTTTGTTTCCGGTTCTGTGAAGCTTTCGTTATATAAACTTGTTTTTGCCTTGTTGGGGATAGTGTTTTGCAGTTAACGTTATTTCGTATCTAAGCAGTTAAGCCGAAAAAAAAGGTATCGTCAGGATACAGGTGATGCAGCGGCATGTATTTCAATCATTCAGGGCGTGGCTCAAGTCATGCTGCACGATACAACTAGTTTTTCTCGTGCTGCTAACGTTTCAGAACGCGGCGGCAGTGATGCTCATGAGCTACACGCAGCAACGGCGGATGGCGGATGGCTCAGCGCGATTTGCCGTAACGCACGTGGTGATGATGCAGGAGATGACGAAAGTATTAGCTTCCCTGCTATGGTGTGCCATCGACGTGTACAGGGCTGTACGGAAAGAGGGCTTCCGCCTTGTTCAAAAGACCACTTCCTCGCAGGTGCTGGATGACTCCCCCCCACAGAAGTCGACACCGTCCTTTAAGAATGGTTCTGCCACAAAGCTTGTCCACATGGAAAACATCACGTGGCGCGTGGACGATGACGATGACTTATCATCGGATGTAGCCCCGCTTTCAGCCGAAGAGGTATGGCGATTATTCAAGAAGCGTTTGTTTGCCGAGCTGTTCCACCCCGGTGCACTGTGGATGATGGTGCCAGCCATTTTATACGCTGTGCAGAACTACATTCTCTTCGTCGCGCTGGCAAACCTTGAGCCGACGCTTTTTCAAGTGACGTACCAAACAAAGATTCTTGTAACAGCACTACTAATGTGGATGTTTCTGGGCCGCGCTTTTTCCATGAAGCGGTGGATGGCCCTCGTGGTGTTGGTCTTTGGCGTGGCAATGGCGCAGATTGGCAGTCAGCGCTCGCTTGACTCTCAAAAAAGCGGCCACCCGCTTCGTGGCAATTACGCCGTTGGCATTGGCGCCACGGCGTTCGGTGTGGTGCTTTCCAGCGTAGCTTCTGTTCTCGTGGAGGCGATATTTAAGTCAAAAGCGAGTTCCATGGATTCACTCACGTCATCTAAAAATGTTCATCTATCTGCTTACTCCGTCATGTGCTTTGTGGTGGCACAGATAATCGACGGCGGTGGCGTCACCCGTTCGTGGCTAACGGGCAGCTCCTTTTCTGAGCTCGTGCAGAACTATTTCCGCGGCTTCGATTGGCTTGTCTGGGTGATGGTGTTGGTGCAGGCACTGGGAGGGCTGCTGGTGGCGGTGGTGATCAAATACTCCGATAACATCATGAAGGCCTTCGCAACGGGGTGTGCCATCGTGCTTAGTGGGTTTTGCTCGGCGTACGTGTACGCCTTTGTGCCGAGCCAATGCTTTGTGCTGGGCAACGTCCTTTGCCTCTTGGCAATTGTGCTTTACAGCCGCTGATGGAAAGCGATTGCCAGGGGAGGACATTTACGCACAACTCAATAATTTGTGAGTGAACAAAAAACAAACAACACAGTAAGAAAACCGCCCAGCGAGAGGAACGAATGATATCTTCACTACCCCGATAGAAAGCAACGTGGACAGGGCTAGGTGTGCGTGCGCGTGACACGGATGAAGGGGCGTGTAATTGTTGCTAAAGGGTGTTGTCTCTCAATGTACTTCTGCACTCTGCCGGTGTGAGGGCCGCATTGATTACGGTAAAAGGAAAGGTGAAAGAACGGCGACAGCGAGGAGAAGAAAACAGTCTGCTTATCCGTTTGTGAGCTCTAGATTCATGAATTCGACTCAACATATTGCTGTGCTTTTGATATCTTCACCCCCCCCCCCTCATGGAGGAATGGTGTAGGGCGTACACATGCCTCTTCTTTTCACACGTCTTCTTTTCTTCCACACATACATGCGCCCAGGTAGAAAGGAAAAGTAACACAAGTCGTCACTGACACATCGAGCCAACGCCTACAAAAAGGGAGAGAGGGCCGTGCGAGTGCGTTACTACGACTGCGCCTAGACTACAACTGCGGGTATAGCGGGTTGTTGTCCTCTTTTTCCACCTTGAGTCTCGTGGGTTTCTTTGCTTTCCTGCTCCGTGTACCGTTTTCCACGTAGGCCGCACTTCCACCCCACTCGCAGAGGGGAAACAGACACACACCGAGCGGAGACGCGGGGGTGAGCTGTGACGCTGTGGTTTCGTCCTGCACCTCTCCATTCTTTCTTCGTTTTCCTCGCCCTCGTCGTCCACCGGTACTACGGCGGTGCCTCTGAGCCACGAAAGAGGAAGGAAGAGAGGAAGGAGAGAACAGAGACGAAAGAAAAACCGAGCAAAGGATATAATTATATAGGCCTTACCAGTATATCTATTCATACTTGTCTATAGTTATATTGGAGTGCCAGGGAAAGTTGCATCAATATTTAGGTGCACTTCGCCCTATACTTGAATCCTAGGTCCTCGTGAAAGGTTGAAAACAACAACAACCAAACAAACCAGTTGGTTTTTCGGTTTTGTGTGTGTGTGTCTGTGTGTGTGTGTGTGTGTGTGTGTGTGTGCTTGTGGTGTCATGATCGAGACAACGCTGCCCCTTAACAAAACCCGGAATGTGCTGTCCAGTGTGATTGCACTCTCGTCAGATTCCTCCAGCCTCATCCAGCACGATTCGAGCGTTTCTACTGTGCTTCAGGAGGGGAAGAGCAGCAGCAGCAGCATCAACAACAACGGGCGACCCGAGAGCCGAAGTGCAAGTGGCTTACCAGACAACTACTTCAATGTGCTGAGTGCGGACAAGAGCGAAACGCTCTCCATTCCTCCCGATCTTATCGAGCCCACAGCAGGCTCCGCGAACTATTTGGTCAAGAATCAGAACAATAGTGCTCCCACCTTTGCGTTTTACCTCTGCAAGATGTACACGAGCGGCTCCACCTGTGCACACGGCGCGCTGTGCGACTTTATCCACAGCCGCCACGTGCTGGCGGACCCACCAGGTCTCAACACGCGGGTGAAGGTCATTCGAGTGCACTGGTCGTTCCCCGTTTCCTCCCTCGCTGAAGCGCCGTACGAGCGGCACGAGCCGGGGGCCGTGTTTTACATTAACCAGGGCAGCAGCGGGGACAAGACGCTGTACACCTCACACAACACACCCAATCCGCGCCGCTTGCCGTCGGAGTATGTGTACAAAACGAAGGGTAGTGAGGAGGCGTTGCTGAATGGTTCAGCAAAACTACTTCGTCTGTGCAAGCACTACGAGCGTGAGAAGTGTGCGCGGGGGAGTGCGTGTAACTTCATCCATCGTGTTCGCTTGATGTCTATGCCCAGGGCGCCGGCACCGCCACCGTTGCAGCCACAGTTGACCAATCAGGCAACTGGTTTCAACATCATCAATTCGTGCCAAGGGCCCGGCGGCGTTCAACGGCCGTACTCGACGGGCATCCCTTGCATGACGGGCGAACTGACAGCTCCGACGCAGTCCGCGGGTGTCATGACGTTTGGTGCATGTGGGACCCAACCAACGAACAGAGGCTTCATCATCACACCACCTCTACAACAGCAACAACAACCCCAACAGCAACAACGACTACATCAGCAACCGCAACAGCTGTTCGCCCAAACGCGTGGATTCTCTTTTACACCTGTCTACACCTCACAGCAAACGTCATACACGGCCAGTCCTCAAGATTCGATTTCGGCGGTTCCTTTTCAAGGCCCAGCTTCGTTCTACACCCAACATCATCATCATCATCAACATCATCAGCCGCAGCTGCAACAACAACAACAACAGCAGCAGTCGAGACTGCAAGATGTTTCGCAGAACCCCACTCCGGAACTGGCGCACCAATCGATAATTTCGATCCCTTCAACGCCCGACTCCCTTCTTTCGCAGCTGCTGTTCACCTTCATGTAAGCGCTCCGCGGGTGAGGGAATGTCTGGGCAATTCGTTTATCTACACAAATGTTTCAACGAAGGAGCTTGTGCCAAGTGTTGGAGTGCTGAGAAACACTCATGTACATTTCTGGTCTTATGGTCTGCAATACGACTGCAAAGAGCCAAAAAGTTTTCTATTTCTTCCCCCTCCCCTTTTTTGTGTCGTACTGTTCAACCATGAGCCTCATCATTCCTATAAAGAGGCTCATCAATTCTATTGGTGTTTTGCGGTGCTTAAGAACAAAAAAAATCATGCATCTTGGGCTTGTGATGATGATGATGATGGTGGTGATACTCTCAGTTTGGTTTTCCCCATCTGGGTTTGTTTCACTTCTTGTTTCCTCCTTGCAGCTCATCGCCCAATCGGTGGGCCGCGGCTCACCGGCTGTGTTGCACATACACCACATATATTTATATATCTATTGCATGTATTTGATTTTGCTGCGGCAAGCTGACGTGAGTGACGCCTGGGAGTGTGGGCGGCTGGTGATAGATTATTGTGATGATGGATATGACGCTTTTCTCTTCTGTTTGGATCGCAGCGCTTCTTGTTTTTGTTTTTGTGTTGTGATGTTTTTTAAATTCACTCTTCTTCACTTCTGCTTCCTCTCTTTTTATTGGCACATCTTTTGTCAGCTCGCCCCTTTTTTTTTGGCTTTGATTCACTTCGGTCCCCTCCGCTGACGGGGCGCTCGCGCTGCTTTATGCCTCCTTCGTATGTAACAAGGGGGGGAAAGGGGCCAGAGCGCATTAGAGGCGAGGAGAAAAAAAAAATAAAACAAAAACGGAAGGGATAAATAGAAAGGCGGGAGGAAAGAGAGAGAGAGAGCAGCCGCAGGGGAGAAAATAAAAAAAATACTTTAGGGGTGTAAAGGAATACGCCCCTGTTTGGAAGCTGTAGGCAAACAATGCCTGCGTCAATAAGCTCTCAGCTCGCCGTGGAGTGTGGACGATCTGAAAAGTTTTTTTTTTGTTTTGTTGGAACTATTCCATGTGTTTCTTGGCATGTTTGTTTGTGTTTGGTTCTGTGCCTGCGTGCTTTTGTGGTCAGACGGCAGCAGCAGTAACGCTCTGGGGCGTCCGAGAAAAAAAATTTAAAGGCGGGGGTTCCTGGCGTTTCTCTGCGGAGGAGTGAATGATATATTGGAATGAAGAATCACACAACTCTTATGTCTATCCGTGTTTAATGCGTATTACTGTATATCTATCTATATAAATATTTATATATCTATCACTATAAATATCTCTATATGAATATCTATATAAATATCTATATGAATATCTATATAAATATCTCTATAAATATCTATATCTATATATATTTGTATATATATATATATATATATATATACACAAATATCTATCTATATCTACGCTGATGTGTATGTATGTGTCTGTCTATGTGCTCTTTTCTACATGGTGCGAGGAGTGCTGCCATTGTTCCTATCCAATAACCCTTGCCCGTGTGATGTAGTGCTCAATGATCACGCTCGTGGGGTTTTCCTTCGCTGCTCGCCGCTACCGTCTGTGACGCTTTTCTTGCTTGCTGCAGCATTCGTCAGCTGCGGCAACACAGATGCTTGTGGTGTTTGAGCACGGGGTGGGAGAGGGATGAGTGTAGCCACATGACACGACTGAGACACAACAGAGAGGGAGAGGTGATAAGACGAAAGGAAAGTATGAAATCAGAAGGGACGATATCAAATGTAGTTTTGGTTCTCTTTCTCTCTGTCTGTGTTTGTGTGTGTGTGTGTATGTTTGTGTGTTTGTGTGTGTGTGTGTGTGTGTGGCTCACCTGTTAAAGGGCATGATGGGTTTCTTTATACGGTAAGCTATGAGGGGCCTTCGCAAATGTTTCATTCTCTTCTGTCGAAAAAAAAAAAGAGCCTTCTCAAGAATATTTAGATTTTCGTTGTCTGCTGTGTGTTGGTTGGTGGGTGAGTGGGCGCCGCCAGGCAAGAGTATTGGCTCCCCAACCAGCGGGCTGCTGGTGCATGTTGCCCTTCAGCGGCCATTTGGTTTTCCCTGCTACCCCCTTTCTCCCTTCAGTCGTCTCCTTGGTGGGGCGTCGTGTTGTTCTTCATTGCGCCCATGAGGGAACGTGGTGATGAGAAGAACGCGCCGAATTAAGAGAAGATGAGGGTTGCAACCGCACCGTATAATATGAAATATATTTTATTACTGTTGGCTTGGATGGACGATGTCAGCCGTGCTCTGTTTTTCTACTCTCTGCTACTGCTGCTGTCTGCTACCATCTTGTTGGGTAGCGCACAAGCCACATCACTATTGTACGCATGTTTTACGCCGTTCTTTCCAGTTCATCTTTCATTTTTTTTTTGCTTAGCTACACAAGGAGGCGTTCAAGCATCCTTGCCGTGTTGTTGTCGATGCTGATGGAGTTGAGTCCCTCTCCGGGCTGTGCCGAGTAATGGATCGCTAACGGGTTGATGTTGTGATGCTCTGCTGCTGCTGCTGCTGCTTCTGCGGCGGCGGCGGCCACTGTGGCGACGGATTTTCTTAACGTCGCCGACGTGGTTGCTGTGCCATTGGCGCCTCATCCCTCGTCGATGTTTCATCGCCGTTGTCTCGATGTCTTTTGCACTTTACTTTCAGAGTAACTGCTTATGTGTCTGTGTGCGTGTGGGTAAGTGCGTTTCGTGCAGAGATTTGTTTTGTGTGAGAGCGATGGCGGCGTGCCATGCCTGAGTTTTTGACCTGATGGCTCGATACCGCTGTCTTGCGCACCGTTGCCGCTCTGTGCGGGCGTTACTCTCTACTCTTTTTCTTGCCGGCACCTTGGCGTTCGGCAGTGGAAGTGGCGAGGAAAGGAGGAGGGGGCGAACGGTCTCACAGAATTCCCAAGAAACCAAACAATACCAATAGCACGGAGAAAAGAAATAAAGGAAGAGAAAAAAAAAGACTCGGTGAGAGTGCAACAGTCATGACGGCGGAGAGTGTGGAGAGTGTTCTTGAGCTCCTCACATACACCAAGGGCGTGGCTGCGGTCGTTGTGTGTAACCGCGAGGGGGAGCCGATACGCGACAGCTTTCAGGATTTGGACCGCACCAAGGCTGTAGAGTACGCAGACATGGCAGCGGAGCTGGCACGCAACGCGGCCCCACTGCTGGCTGCGGATGACACGTTGGACTCCCTGCGTGTGCGCTCCCGCACCAATGAGGTCATCATCAAGTGCCATGAGGAGTTTCTTCTTGTTGTTATTCAAGAACTATCGGAGTGAAGAAGCTGTACGTGTGCATTTTTCGATTTTCTCTCATGGGATGACGACGGGAGGAGGAGGTTGCGTTGGTGGTAGCGATTGCAACTCGGGCTGTGCTTGATGACACTGACTGTAATGGTGGATGTGTGGCCTGTTATCCTGTGCCGTGCCGGATACGGTGCACTCACCTGCGGTGCACCCCCTTCCAATTATTCCTCCCTCATGGAGGGGTGTTTGTTGAAAAAGAGTGGTGCGTACGTGTCTTCGTGCTGCGATACCGTCCTGTATAAATATATATAGAGGACCCTTTCTTCTTCGAGGGTATAGATCCCTTTTAGACCGCCGTTGCAATTGAATTATCTGTATTACTGATCACTGCGGAGTTTTTTCTTCTACCCATCATCGCTCCTGTTGCGCTTAGGTTTCTTCTTTCTCAAACATGTGCACGCTCATTGTCGCGTGCGGGGCGCCGGTGCCGTTGCGACCGCAGCGCGCAAGGCGAGTTTCGTCCACCAGATCAGGGTGGGCCTGCCGTGCGAACTGCCGGAGCGGCGGACGGCGAGGGAGATAAACTGCATTGCGGATATGCAACTGGACGATGCTGAGCTGGATACAGCTCTCAGTGAAGGCTCATTACCCTCATTGCTGAGATCACTCCGGCGGAGGAACACACATTAGAGAAGGGCGGATAGTCTCGTCTCGCCTTACGCTCCATTTGCCTCGTCTCTATTGGTTTCTGGGAAGGTGTGTGTGTGGAGGGGGCGGGGGAAAACAAGTTCCTCATCTCTTTCTTGCTTGAGGAAAGTGTTCTTATTGAATTGAGCTGCTTCTTCAAGCACATCTGGAACTTGGGCCTGAGGTTGGGTATGTTCGAGGTATGCCCCATATGGCTGCGATAATATTTCTTGTGATACAGGATTCCATCCAGTCGCTGATTTCCTTTGCCAACTTGATGGCGTACGTTGATGTAGTGTTCTTCATTCGGTTGCGGCAAGGTTGCATGAGCCTTCACCTCGCCATAATTGACGTCTTTCTTGCAACAGCTCAGCCAGTGTTGCATGCGATTTTCAAAAAGAAATACGAGTTATAACCGGGGGCTTACTACTTTGAGTGGTGGATGGCCCTCTTCGCACGGGCAATGCCATGCGCCGCTGCCCTGCTCTGCTGGGGCCTCTTTCTGTTGAATGAAAACTGTTTGTATCGCATCAGCCTCGCGCTCGTTGTGTTGCCGATTCGGATTGCATCACAAGGGCGCCATGGCGGCTTCCCTGAAGACGTTTTGCGGGTCGGCAGGGGACTTACTGCTAGCGCTGAAGTCTCACCCGTCTATAATATACATGCAGCAGGATGATATATATATATATATATTCCCGCATCGTGGCGAGTGACTTTCTGTGCGGCGTCTGTGTGAGCCCCATTCGCTCAGTCGCGGCATGTGTGGGGAAGCCAAAGAAAAAGCAACAACAACTTGTATCATAACCGCACAAAGAGAGGGGTTGGGGGGTGAAAACAATCACTTCCACTTCTACGATCTTCGGTTGTGGTGACTGGGAGCAAAAGATCAAACATATTTGCCATTTTTCTTTTTTTTTCATTTTGCCTTCTTAAAAAACGAATCAAATCGTATTTGGTGTGCTTGCTCTCTTGCCTTATTGTCATGCTGGGCGGTGAATCGATGAACGCTTCACTGCTGTCCCCCTTCTCCCCTTTGCTTGTTGCGGTGGCGATAAGAATAACGGGTGCTAAACTCTTTCTATTGGAGTAGTTCCGTTTCCGCTGTGATGAGACGTGGGAAGATCCATGTGCTGCAACACCTTCCTTCGCTTAGTGACAATCCTTCTGCTTTTGTCTCTGGTCCATTTTGATTTCTGCACGCATATTTTCGAGACACCGCGCAGAAGCCAGCCAGCCAGACACACACACACACACACACACACACACACAAATGCTGCGACTCGCTGGCTTCGCACTGCGCAGCAAGAACAGACGGCTGCCGCACGCGATAGCTGCCCTCCCAGCCCCGGCGCTGCGCCACGGTTGGGGAAACATCGAGCGCATGTCGGACGATGATCGCCGCGACGTGGTGGCGGGCGCGTGGACGCACGCGAAGCCTGTGCGGCTGCTGCCGGACACTGCTGACCGGGACTCGGGAGGGTTTGTTGACGGCGTGCACTTCAGCACCGACGATGAGGCGGAGGCGTTCTTGGCGGAGGAGGCGACTGACGAGGCGGCTGAAAGGGGAATCCCAGCGCTGCAGCTGGCGCGTGACTTCTTCGAGGAGTTGGCGCAGACAGCCGACAGCGAGGTGGACGTGGAGAACGCGCTCGTGGCCACTGGCACCTCGGACGCCGACCGCGCGGATGAGGAGCGCGACGTAAACCGCCATTTTTTTGCTGATTTTTACGTGCAGCAGGGGTTGATTTGTGAAGAGGAACGGTACCGCTTTGTGGATTCTATGCTCCGGCCGCCCACTGCCATGGTGATGGTGAACGCCGGATTGCCGTTTGTGCGGCTTATGGTGCAGTGCCAACTGGAGCGCCACATGCGCGACGCGCAGGCCGAGCAAACTGGTGCAGTGTTTGTGCCTAACGCGGCACACTCGCTGCTTTATATGGTGGACATGGTGCCGACGCAGCGCATTGGGGACCCGCTGCGGCTGCCGTACAACGAGGAACGTTCTATCCTCGCTAAGCGGGGGGCAGGGGATGAGGTTGGGGATGGGCATAAGGGCGATGGGCACGTTTCGACAGCGTCAAAACTCACAGCTGACTCAAAGACCGAATTAATTGGTCTCGAGGCGGATCTCATGGAGGCGCTGATGAATGATGAGGCGGGTGTAGGTCAACTCGCACCTGTGGGAAATAGGGAAGGTGAGAACACTTCGGATGATCTGCTCCCTGACAGACAGCAGGAAGAGACGGCTGTAAGGGTGCAGCCGCAGGTTGCGAGGGCACCGCTTTCGATTGGGCATGTGTACTGGCTGCAGCGACAGGTGGCTGCCGGTACACTCGTTGACATGGATCCGCTAGGGGTAATGATCCCTCTGGTTCTTGGTCTGCACCGTTGCGATAGTGGTGGAATTATTCTGGATATGTCCAGTCGCTCCCACGGCGTGCAACAGTGCGTTTACAGCAAGGATATTGCGAGTCACTTGACGGTCTCACGAACTGACCAGCAGTCGGAAAGGGAGCGCGTCTCTGAAGTCGTCGTCATATCGCTTGTGTCACCGGACACTAGCCAGAGGAAAATGGAATACCACCACGACAGGCAGAAGGGTATTAAGGCCAGCCATGAGGACATTCCGGCCGAGAATGGGCTGATTGTGGATGACCTGCATCAGCACGTGGAATACCACTTGGGTATTGAGGGCTGCATCACGGCACGAGGCCCCTCACGCCGTGTATGGGACTTGTTAAGGAGGGTGTGCGACGTGGTGTTGTGCTGTCCCGATACAACGGCAGACGGACGCAGGCCACGCGCGGCGTTGGGCACTGGGGGAAAGGAAGATACGGCTGAAATGACCGTTGCAAACAACTTCGTCTCTGTCTGCTCAAGGGTCAATAAACTATTTCCATACTTGCGACGCGAACTCGCACAAGCGCTGGAATACGCGAGCCCTCGCGGGGGGCGGGTTGTGTACGCAACACGTAGCATGAATCCGCTCGAGAATGAGGCGGTTGTATGCTCTGTACTCACAGACTTTAGGCGCAAACATCCGGAATGTACGTATCGCCCTGTTTCTATACTAGAGAAGCAACCAGAAGATGTGGTGGATGTGCTACACACCCTTATGGATGGAAGCCAGCACGGACTGCAGACGTGGGTGGGCCTAGAAAATGGACCACCAGAGCAGGAAGTGACGTACAGCGACGAAGACGTTATTGCGGCTGTCACCCGCCACGCATGGCGAGCGGATCCGCTTAAGACTGAGGGTGATGTCTCTTTTATTTGCGTCATTGAGTTGCAAGAATCTTCTATGGATTTGTTATCATCATCATCATCATCATCAGTGACACAGCCGCTACCGTTGCTACGGCCACTGCAACCGTCAGATGAAGCAAGTGCTGTCACCCCTCCTCTCTGTGCCTTCCCATGGCTCGACACTGTCTCTCTGCGTGGGCGCTGGGGCCTCGCAATCCACTGGGACGAGGAGAGAGATGCCTTTTTAGCTGTAACGTCGTCCGTGCTGCTAACGATGGAGGCTTTCCGTCGTAATCACTCGCTAGACGGTTATAGTGTCAGTGATTACGGTGTTCGTGTGGATGCTCCTCTTACATCTCATGGGCGGTTGCGGCGGCGGCAGCAGCAGCAGCAGCAGCAACGACAAGAGCAGGAGAGTGTCGTGAGCTGCTCGTTAGGTGGCACCTCGCTTGCCCTCGCTTTTAGTGACTGTGTTCGAGAGAAGGACCGACCGTCACGCCTCCTTGAATTCCCTGTCCCTGTTCTCCTGGACTTGCTGCATGCAAGGCGTCTTTCCTCGCAGCGTCTCAGTCAACTGCTTGCTGGCACGCCAGCTGCGCCATCGTTAGCTGCGGCAGCGGCCACATTACCGCCAATTGGGGAGAAGCGAACGGTCTTCTTGAAGGCAGTGCCACCAGCGGCCTTTGATCCAGGGTTGAGCGACATGGAGCTGCATGAGACGGTGACAGACGAGCTGCGCAAACTGGTTATTGTGGCCCACGTCCATGCAGACCGCCGACCGCTGGAGCATGGGGCCAACTTTGTGTTGACACTGGGATGCACAACGGCGCATGAGCGGGGCCTGTTGGAGGAGCGTGTGGTGGCAATTGGTGACGCACTGCAGTTTTTGCTGCGTCGACTCGGCCATCCACTAGAGGTCTGCCGGCCCGGCAGCAACGAGGGAGACCAGCAGGCTCAGATGCAGGAGGACGAATACGAGGTGGAGCGGCAGGCCCCCTCACCGCCATCGGACGACGTCGACAGCCTACTCAGCACTCAGGAGCGGCAGAAGCACGATCGGAACATGCGACGCCTGAGAGGCAAACTGCACGTGCTTGGCGACACCAGCAGCAGCGAGGGGGGATTCAGGACTGATTGGGAGAGGGACTTGCAGCATATGCACTTTGGGAAATACTCATCCGTTCAACGTCCTTGTTTGCGCCGAAGGTAAATTCACCATCTTCATGTTTTTTCTTCTTGTTTCTTGAGTGCTGCTTCTGCCTGGTGTCCACCTTGAAAGGTTGACATCTTTGTGAGTTCTAACTTTCTTTTCCTCTTTCTTGCGCTACAATGGTTGCTGTTTTTGTTTTTACTTTAGTAGGTGTGATGCGAGTTGGAGGGAACACGGCTATCTTGTGAACCATATGACCACTACTCAGGTGAATTTTACAAAGCTGGTGGACCCTGTAGATGACAGTTCGTCAACGGCGCTCTCTGATTCAAAAGAACTGCATGCCCTTCTCACCAACACTCAGTTTGCTTTTCTGGTGATATTCTGCTGCTGTTGCCACTATGCCGCGCTTGTCATTTCTGCCCTTGCAGTGGGGGAGTCGACGAATGTGTTGGTGGTGCCGTTCGTTCTGGGGAAGTCCCTGCTGTTCGGGTTTGCCAAAGCGGTCGTGAAGGTGGTGAAGCGGCGGCGCCGGACCGTGTTTGTTGGCGTCGAGTACGAAGATGACGGCTCCGACCACGACAACTTCGACGACATTAACCAGCCAGCGGAGGGGGGCTTTAAGTGATGTGAGTTGCTTGGTCGTCGCCACCCGCATGTGTGTGTGTGTGTGTGGGATTATGAAGAAGTACATGTGTTTTCTTTTTGGGGGCACCCGCCATCTCCAGCGCAGCTGTTTTCACACTATAGGGGACCATTGGGAATCATGTGTGTGTGTGCGTGTGAGGGAAGAGATTGTGGACGGTGTGCCACGATGGTGGTCCTGCAGCCCCTCTACTCCAACCTTTAAGTGACACCGTTCTGGATTGCTCTCCGTTTGTCTTGTGGTTTCGGAGGAGTGGTGTGGGTTAGAAGTTTACTGCCATGCTCAACGGCGGCGCTGCACACGACTTGCTGACGCGCAGGAACCAGAACATCCTCACACGCGTCGTGGCGCAGGAGCGGGAGAACGCCGTCCTGCAGGCCGACCTCCGCCAGTGCGAGGACGAGGCGCGGCGGGCCGCTGCCGATGAGCGCGCCGCCCTCG